GAGGTCCATTAAAGCTGTCAATTTGGCTTTTTCCAGACAAAACTAATCTATATTCTTGAATTTATGCCAAAATAGCTTTTTGTTTAAAACAAATAGCCCTTTGTGTGCTTCATATTTAGATTTTAAATTAATTAATTAATTTTTGAAGCCTTTATGACAAAGCTTTAGTTATAAAATAACTTATCTGGATGTAAAAGAAAATAATATAACTGTTTTATATTTTGAGATGAGAAATTTGTATAGGTAAAGCTTTTCTGTTTATGAATAATGCAAATATTTCCTTTTTAGAGTGTCATCTCTATTGTGGAACTGAAACAAACTGCAGTGCAGTTGGGTTATTCTTATGGATTGTGAAAATTAAAAGTTTTCCTGCCTTCTCTGTGTGAGTGGTGCATTTAAAACTTTGGGAAGGTATATGTTTTCTTTTGTGCTTTCACCATTTTATTGCGTTTATTTAATTTAGTCGCCTCTGGCAAGGGGTAATAAAAAGCACATGAAAAATTCAGCAACTGGCAGGTGAAAAACTGAAAAGAGGAAAGCAGGTGAATAACTCACCTGTGGCATATAGCCAATCCGGGGTCCTGGCACACCGGAACCACGCGATCCGGGTCGTCCGCCGAGCACCCAAATCTCGCCAGAATTGAGGCGACGTCGACCGACGATGCAGCTGAGCAGCGTTGTTTTCCCACATCCAGAGGCTCCCAGAAGACCGTATCTGCAATTGCACACGGTTAGTTGAGCTTAAAGTCGTTTTTATAATGAGATATATGGGAACGAGCATGCAGATGGTTTAGACAGGGCGGCTCCGTTGCAACGGCGCCCAAAATTTTTTATCTGGCTTGGAATTTCCTAACTTCAGGATAGCACTCTTATTTATAAAGCATAATAATAAATAGCATAATAATATATACTAAGAACTAATGTTTTTTAATGAGGTATGAATATTTATTTTTATAATACACTCTGAAGTAAAGTTCGATATAATGATAAATCGATTATGACAATAATTTAAAGATATAGGGTATTATTAAGTTCTCTTTAAACTTAGTAACTGAGTAATTAAACTTTAATATGCAGTTACTAACCAGGGAAATCAAGTCTTGTATATTGTTATTTCATGTTATTCTCTTCCAAATTAAAACATCCTGGGATTTCCCTGGTTGAATTCCTTTCGGATTGTGAAGAAGAATAATTACAAGTAAATCTGTAAATCCAGGGGGGTGTTGAGGGGGTCCAACCCCTTGGAAAAGGGCAAACCGATCGGAAAATTCAACTGCCATGGCAGCTGCATTTAAGTTGGGCCCAAAAGGAGGCCAGAACACTGCTGGCCAGATAGTCGGATATTTTTGGGGCGACTCCTCGTCCTCGAGTGCATGCCGCTCAAATATTTTAAGCACTCACACAAAGACACGGCGGCAGGTGCACTCACCCACACAGGTGCAGAGCACACTCACACACGCACACAGGGATGAAAAGCATCAGGTGAAAAATCAACTGTGAATAGTTTTGCAAAAATATTCAGGCGCAAAAAGTTTCATTGCTCGGTACTCGGTGCTCGGTGTTCTCTGAGCGCTCTCTTAGTGCCCAAAAGCACCCCGCCACCCCCACTTTCACCGAGTTTTCCATCCGCTTTTCCCACACACTTTTCCACCCACACTATCTTCATGTTCAGGTTCAGGTCGGTGTGGTATGTGCGCCGCTTATCTCGTGTGTGGAGGAGCTGTTGCAAAATATATTTAGGGAATGTTTAGCACAGCTTAGCGCGCCAGTCAGCCTCCGCCCACTTTCCACGACCATTTTCCAACCCACCACCCCACCCCCTGACCATTTTCCACCCCCTCAACAAGCTTCCCCAAGTTGGCGTATTTTTTATTACGTGCGCAGCGCGCGAGTTTAGAAAATTGTTGGCCTGGCAGTTGGCAGTTGGATGGCGCAGGGGTCAGGGGTCAGCGCTCGAGGGGTGGGGGTTTGCGCGGTTTGAGGTCGGTTAAGGTGTGCAGGTGTGTGTTTAGCCATGAATAACATGCAGGTCGATTGCAGGCGGGGGGAAAGAGCCACACTTGTATAAGCCAAAGCAAAAGCCAAAGGGGTAAATAAAAGCACAGCCCGGCTCCCAGTCCTTCGACCAGCTTAAGGACACCCCGGGTTGGCCTGGCCAAAAGGGGGTTCGCTGGGATGGTCAAAAAACAAGCATCGGGTAGGACAATAGCGCCAGATATGATTAAACTCTCCACTAAACTGAAGCGCTCAGATAAAACTAACTAAAAGTGGATAATTTGTTGGCTTTAATTGAGTGTTTCAACTCAGTTGAACTTTGGCCAGCTGAGCTTTTGTGAATTAAAGTGCAAATAACCTTGGGTTCACAATAATGTATTTAGTGCATTTTAGTGCAGCGGGGAAAATACGAGAGTTTAAAAGGGTTGAACGGAAAAATTGCAAGCATAATTCAATTTAACTCAAAGTCACTTTGTTTACGTCATTTATTTCGGATGCAATTAACTTTTGAGTGCTTCAAAATAAAAGTCAGTTCAAGTCAAACTTAGTTTACAAAAAATGTATAACACAATGAGTCGATTATAGCAAAAATATCATGTGTCAAATCAGATTACATTCAGAAGTAAAAAATTAATAACATTTTTTATAGCAAATATTATTATTATATATTATTTATGTATTCCGACCAGAATTAATTAAAAAGCTTCAGTAAAATGTATCTTTGTAATAATATATATATCTTGATGGGATTTAATAAATAAATGGGGATAGATACAAGGCTTCAACACGGATATATCAGTCCTTTGATATTACCAGTTGTGCTATTTCCATTTTCTCCTGCACTGAGGAGCAAAGGTGACTTGATTTCATTGTCCGCAGGCCAATTCAATATTCCCGCCCCGTTTTATTCCAGTTTCCTGTGGCAAATTCCGCTGCTTTGCATGCAATTGCCTTTTTGCATATCGCGTATCGCATAGCATAAATCCAATGCCATAAAGCGTTAAATGGGCGAGTGCCGTGTTAGAAGAGGTCGCTGCGCAAAACTTTGCGGGCCAACCAGCCAAGGCAGACGACAGAAGCTGAAAAACATTCCAAGTCACAAATTACCAACATTTAGCAGCGGTGTGCGCATATTTTAGCCCCTTCGGTGCCTTCGTAGCCCTGTTTTTGTCCACCTTCGTGGGGTTAGTGTGTTTTTGCCCGCAGGAAAACAATGCAAACAATAAGCAGCGATGCAGACGTCGACGTTGACGACCCGAGTTCATGTTGATGTTGATATTTCAACCCATTAACCTTTTTTACCTACTGCGACTACTATTTCGCTGCGACGGCATTTAGCCCGAGCTTGATGCATTCCGCAACTCATTTCTGGATGGCCGTGATTGATGATTTCTACGTTTGTTCATTTGTTCATTTGTTCACTTGTGTGTGCAAATGGGTCGCCTGGCATGCATTTCGGCGGGAATGAATTATGCGCTAATTAATTGACGGCTGCCGTTCGCAAGTCGCGTGATTTGCAGGGATCATTAGTCCATATTTGATTTTAAAATTACTTTTCCGCTCCTGCGACAGCGGGGAATTAAGTAAAGTTTTAATTATAGTGAAGGATTTTCTAGGATTTGTTATATTATCAGCAAAAGTCACCTCAGTCCTATCAGCAACAACTAGGATATGTAGATTAAACAATATATATTTTCTAACATATCTTTGACGATCCTAACTAATTGAAAACATTTTTAAACACAATTAACCTATAGTTGTTTGCCTAGTTTAGTACTAATTACAATATAAGCCTTTGTAAGTAATATGTTTCATTTGGAAGTCAACTTAGACTCATCAGTCGTAATTGGATCTTAACTAATCCAAAAAATATTTAATCACATTTAATACACTATTTAATTATTTCATTAGTGTGAAAGTCCTTATTGAACTTTAATAAATTATCATCAAAAGAGACACACCTAATATGCAGTCACCTCAGTCTCATCAGTCAAAATTGGGGATGTGTGCATCAAGTTTGTAAGTTTTCTGAAGTACGTTTGTTGATCCTAACTAATCCAAAACATTTTTAATCACATGTTTGCCTTTAAAAGTGGCTACATTTTTAATACCCGTATCATTGTACTTTCCGCCTTGCCGTGACACATTGACGAGTGCACGGAAAAGTCGGGGGAGCATCTGAGATGGGGCCCTGAAACTTTGCACTTGACTTTAACAATTAGTTTGTGTCCTCCCCCATCCAATTCCCGACGAGTTTCAGCCCACTCCGCACCTTTCGCCACCCGATTTCATTAGTAGGTGTAGTTGTTGCCTAGCAGCGCGTCACAGGCAATTACAGGGGCGGTAATGCGTATTTAATTAACAAGCTTACTTAGTAGTTTTCCATGGAAAATTTAGCTCATTGTTCGGCAGAATGCGACCGACAGTGTCGACAGTGGGGAACGGGGCCAACTAGCGAACTAGCTAACTGACATTTAGACTCTCGACGAGTCGCTAACGCTCCCTGCTGCCTATTTGCCTGTCCAATTAAACGGTAAACTTTTCTTATGGCCATTCAATTCCCACGCCGAGGAGGTCCTCCTTCAGCTCGGTTATTCGGTAGTTCAGTAATCGAAAGTTTCGGGGGTACTCGTCCTCGGGATAAGTCATCTAAGAGTCTGGGAGCCTCTCAGCCATGAGAGAATGGGGATCTTTTGTGTGTTTATGGACTCGATGCTAATTGAATTGTCATCGATTAATTGAGCCTCGCCAAAGATTCCTGAGATGTGCAAAACCAATAACTTCCAGTCGCCTGGCCTTATGGTAGATGCTTCGGAAAACAAGAGTTGAGCCTACACAGAGAGAACTGCTACTATAAAAGTTCTTAGAATTTGAAAAATTGGGTGGGAGCATCAAAAATTACCTTTAAGAAAGTAGATCGATTTTTAGTGGTAGACACCCACTGGAATATATATAATTTATATTAACATATTATATTAACAATTTAACTTAGAACAACTTAGAAAATGTAAAAACTGTCCTGAGGTAATGCCTTAAACTTCATTGATACACATAAATAAAACGACTGACTTGTAAATTATTGAGTGCAGTTCTAATTTCCAAAATGGGAGGCTTTTTGGAAAAACCGGAAACGGAAAAGCATGTTGAAGAGGGTTCCGGTAATAACCTGCGATATTGCGTGAGTTCCATGCAGGGCTGGCGTTTGGAAATGGAAGATACCCACTCGGCTGTTTGCAAATTGAAGGATGACTTCGAACTCTGGTCGTACTTTGCGGTGTTTGATGGTCATGCTAGCGATCGAATATCAGAGTATTGTGCAAAACACCTACTAAAAACTATAATGAAATCCGAAGGGTTTTCCAAGCTGAGATACGAGGCTGGGATAAGAGAGGGTTTCCTGCGGTTGGACGAGGATATGAGGAAGTTGTTTCAGGACAAGCCAGGTGGATCCACGGCAGTCTGTGTTTTCTTATCGCCTGATAAAATGTATCTGGCCAACTGTGGCGATTCTCGGGCTGTAATATCCCGAAATGGAATAGCAGCCATCAATACCGTAGATCATAAGCCATTTGCCCCTAAGGAAAGGGAACGGATTCAGAATGCCGGCGGCAGTGTTATGATAAAAAGAGTCAATGGCACGCTGGCGGTTTCCCGAGCTTTGGGCGACTATGATTTCAAAAATGATAGCTCCAGGTCTCCAGTCGATCAGTTGGTGTCCCCAGAACCAGATATCATAGTTTGTGAGCGTTCCGAACAGGATGAGTTCATCGTAATTGCCTGCGATGGCATTTGGGATGTGATGAGCAGCACCGAGGTCTGTGAGTTCATTGGTTCTCGCCTTCTGGTGACCTATGACCTCCCAATGATTGTCAATAGTGTGATGGACATTTGCCTGCACAAAGGCAGCCGGGATAATATGACCCTGCTCCTCTTACTTTTGCCGGGTGCTCCGACCATCGATATGGATGCCGTTAAGGCAGAACGAAATCTGGACCAAAGGATTGCTCAAATAACGAGGGAGGTCATCGAGAAGCACGAAATAACCGACTTTGAGGTTCTTATTCGACTGATGAAGAGGATGGCCATTAATATTCCAAATCTACCGCCAGGCGGTGGTATTTATGCAAAGTACTATATCATTGAGCAGGTTTTCCATGAGAAATTCCCCGATGCTCCGGCTGAAATTCATGATTATTTTACTATGTGAAAGGTATGTTATGAAGGAACATGACTCAAATAAATAATATTAATGGAATTACAGATATAACATTATATGGTTTTTAAATGATTTTTTTGTGTATCGTATTGGTCATGATTATTGATTTTATATATGACTTTTCACAGTGTATTCTGCATTTCATTAGTTCTTTCTTAGCCACTCATTCCCCTTGTGTGTCGACTATGTAGCAACAGCTGTGCGTTATGGCCATCCAATTGCCAACTTGTGTTCCGTCAAATACAATGGCACAACAGGCCGAATGCTTGATTTTTTCAATTAGATACAGACGCACGCATTACGCATACGCAATGCCTGCGGACCGGAGAACAATCAAACTCATAAAACTCAGAATCAGACTTGGCAACAGATTCGGAATCGGACCTTTTCCCGGCTGTCCGGTAATAATTAAAATTTGCCTGCCACAAAGGATAAGCCCCGAAAGACAGACGGAGTGAAGGAGTGCCACCGAGGGGCCAAAATGAAAAGTTATGAACTACTGCTCGGCTGGCAGGCAGTTACTGGTCCACCTCAGTCCACTCCACAAGATCCACACCCATGTACAGTGGCAGTACAGTACGTGCCACAACACACAACACTTGACCCAAGCAGTTGCAACAGTCATAACAATGACTGCTCTGCTACTCTGCTACTCCACTGCTTTCTGTTTTCTGTTTTCTGCCCCCGAACAGCAGCTGTCCATTTTAATTTTCCAGCTTGTGTAAATAATTTAAACAATTCCATGTCCAGTCCGACAGGAATAAGGCAAAAACAAGTGCGGGGCGGAAGAGGAAGTGCTCGGTTATTATTTGTTACCTCGACTCCCGGCCAGACTTGGCCTATTACTTGCGGTTGCCGAGTCAGCATTTGTTTAGCTTTCTTTGTTCCTTCCTGTTTCTTTTTTTTGCTGTTTCGTCTTCTAACCAAATATTTTCGCTAGTCAAGTGAGTCCGTTTTAAGGGAGCACAGAGAGAAAGGAAATTCTCAAACACGCTCTGGTGAACTTGGGAAATTATTTTTGATTTTCTTTCTATCAGGGGGGTTGAAAAAGGTGTCTAAAAATAGGCAACACTTTCTTTAAAAAGTATATTTGGTCTTTCAGCAAAGGCTTCTGTATTTCTATTAAGGGTGCCACAGAAAAGTAGGCAATACTATATACAGGATACCGAAAGTTGAGGTTCATTTTTGCATTGCATACTTTTTGGCTCTTTTAAAAGATATTTTAGAACTCTAGGGATTTCTTCAGCATATCTCTATATCTTTTATGGTTTAGTGCAAATTTTCATACAAAGTAGTTCTTAAACTATATTTTTCGAGTGCAGAGTGCGGGTGCTCTGGCATGGGAAAACAAATGAAAACAATAACATGTGGCCCCGGATCCTCCGGTCGTCCTGCGTCCTTCGTCCTGCATCCCGGTCCTTCGGCTCGCTATCTGCTCTCGAGAAGACCTTTCACCCTGGCTGGATGCACTCATGTCCAGTTTGTTTGTTTACTCTGTCTGGCAGCGTGTCTGTTGCATATCAGTGACCAGCATATCGTTATTTTCCTATAATTTAGACAATTTTCAGAAGGGTTCGCTCGCATATTCAAATAGTTTCTCTTTCGCTTCCATTTTCGGGCTGGCTTTTGGCATTTTAATCAACTTTTCTTGGATGTGCACAGCACAATTGCTTATTAAATGGCGAAATCAGAGAGAGAGTTTGTTCTAACTTCTGACTGTCTGACCATTTGGTTTATGGAACTTTGGCCAAATATTTGACTTTGGTTCGGCCCGCTCGACAACATTTGCAACATTTTTCTATTTGCTTCGTTAACCGCACACGAATAGGAAAAAACCAAAAAAAGAACGTGGTCTCCCTGCGACTGAATGTTTGCGAAAACTTTGTTTGCCGCCCGTCGCTGGCCATAATGCTAAACTTTCTTGCGCTCGAATCCATTTTTTTGCTGCTACTCGGACTCTTTTATTTCGTTCCTTTTGTCAAATGCAGACCAAACCAATTACAAAATCCACACAGCCAGGGAACCAAAACCAGCCAGCAGAACTGGGCCAACTGAGGGGCGGGGCAAAGTTTGGCTTGCAAACAATTGCAATTTATTAAGCCAAGAGCCAAGCAAAGCGCAAACAATGTCCGTGTCCATGTGGCCAGCATAATTAAAAGTAAGTTCAATGCGCTGCTCTAGACAACGGAGCGAATCTCTTTTGGACCAGAGATGAGCAAAGAAATTTCAAATATTTGCAATTTAATTTGCATTCAAACACAATTATTGCGGGAGATAATACGGTTTAGGAAATAATTAGATTTAATTCGGTTAGCTGCGGAGACAAGGAACAAATTATAATTGAATTGTGGTCAACGGAGAAGTGAAAACTCAAAGAAAATTTATAGAAAAGTTTTAAAAGAATTTGTCAGGACGCGGGAAATAATGGTCAAGATAAAAAATATTATTGACAGTTTTATGCTTAAAAGTTGTGTCACTGTTTCTTAAGAATTTAAAAAATGACTAAGCATTTAAATATTATTCTCATCCATTAAATTGACTTATCAACTATTTCCATAACTCGGGAATAAACTATTTTAAGCCTTATTAAATTTATGTTTGTAAAAGTATTTTTTAATGGTTTTGTTTTATCTATTTTTAAAGTTCCTTCAGTATGTAACCACATAAAAGCATTTTCCATTTATCTTTATTAAAGTTCCCTTATTTTCCCAACCACATCGCTCATACGCCCTGGAGTACGAACTTATTATGCACCGCAGCCCCTGCAAGTGGTAATTATGTTGCAATAAGTTGGCCCGGGTTCGAAGTGCGGGTTTTGCTAATGCGCTGGTTACAAATATGTGATCAGGCACTTCAATTGCCAGTCCGCAGGAGAAGTAAATGTGGCAGAAGGGCCAGACAATGGGGCCACTGATTAGTTGTGAATTTACTGCTGATTAAGATGCTTTTTAAAGGAATTCACCGCCCTCTCTGGTCGAATGAACTTTTCCGACAACTTTTCGCGCTTTTTTCCCGTAAATGTATCTGTATCTGTCTGTTTCAGTGAGCTTTGTGCTCGTGAGTCCGCTAACTTTCTGTTGAATTGGCAGTTTATGAAAAATTCAAGGACGGACATTAATATCGCACTAACTTCTGGGGGCAAGACCCTATAAATTACACGAAATATACGTAAGTCAACCGGAAGGAACAAACACGTTTGAAAGTCAGCAGTAAAGATGAGCAAATAACTCAAAAGAGCTGAATTGGCTTTTTTCAATTCGTCTTGGACTTTATCAAACACTTAATTACTATCTTCCTGTAAATAAAATAAGTTAATTTGTTTTCACCACTTTAAAGCCTGTTTATACCCGTTACTCGTAGAGTAAAAGGGTATACTAGATTCGTCGGAAAGTATGTAACAGGCAGAAGGAAGCGTTTCCGACCCCATAAAGTATATATATTCTTGATCAGGATCACTAGCCGAGTCGATCTAGCCATGTCCGTCTGTCCGTCTGTCCGTCTGTCCGTCTGTCCGTCTGTCTGTCCGTCCGGATGAACGCTGAGATCTCGGAAACTATGGGAGCTAGGCTATTGAGATTTGGCGTGCAGATTCCTGAGCTTCTTACGCAGCGCAAGTTTGTTTCAGCACAGTGCCACGCCCACTCTAACGCCCACAAACCGCCCAAAACTGTGGCTCCTACAGTTTTGATGCTAGAATAAAAATTTTAACTAAAATGTATAGTTCTCATCAATACCTATCGATTGACTCAAAAAAAAGTTTGCCATGCCCACTCTAACGCCCACAAACCGCCCAAAACTATGGCTCCTACAATTTTGATGCTAGAATAAAAATTTTAACTCAAATGTATTGTTCTCATCAATACCTATCGATTGACCCAAAAAAAAGTTTGCCACGCCCACTTTAACGCCCACAAACCGCGAAAACCTGTGACGCCCACAATTTTCATGCTAGATAAAAAAATTTTAACTGAAATGTATTGATCTCGTCAATACCTATCGATTGGTTAAAAAAAAAAATTTACCACGCCCACTCTAACGCCCATAACGCTTAAATCTGTATACCGCCGGTAGGTGGCGCATTTTAATCTCGCTTTGCTGCTTGCATATCTCTATTTAGCTGAGTAACGGGTATCTGATAGTCGAGGTACTCGACTATAGCGTTCTTCCTTGTTTCTGTTTAATATATTCTGCATAGAAATTATAAAAACTGTTTTTCCTTTCATACGTTGGACAATAAAAAACCTGTTTGAAATAACAATGTATGACAGTTTATTTTTTTCTCAACTGAATAAAAGTTAATTTATTATCTAATTAAACACACATTGTGCCGTCTACCTCTAAACGTATTTAAAGAACACTTTATTGTCTGGCCGGGTATTTTCAAAATTTAATCAGTTCAGCCCACTTAATTACAGTATGGGTTTTTTGCGCCATCCTGACTTTTGGCCGTGTTTTGCCATTTTTATTGCATAAAGCGAAATCACAGTGTAGGACTGTTGTTTGGAAATTGTTGTACAGGCTAAATGAAATCATGACAATGTAGCGTGAATCAACAAAATCAGCTGAGAGACAAATTGCCCCGAACACGCAGCGCCATCGAGTGCAGCTTCAAACATGGGTTGTATCCATACGTATATATACCATATAGTACATATGCCAATTACTGTTTTTTGATGTCGTAAGCCGCGATTCGTTGCCGCTCCATTGACAAGCTAAACGGATCGGAGTTAGGTCCGCGTGGGTATTTATTTAAATTTATCGCATTGAGCTGTGCGTGCGGATGCGAAGGCAATTGGAAATGGAAAATGCAAAATGGGAAATGGAAAATTCCCATGCAATTTGGCGGCGTAGATTCCATGTAATTAACAATTTAGCGATTGCAATGGCAGCCATTTTGTCAGGGGTGCATAACAATGAGCGAATAAAATGCATTCGCTAAATAATGCAAATTCAGTTTTGACGCACACATAATTCCATTTTAATGGAAATTTTCTACTTAGCACTGGCGTTGTT